GCACTGCGCCCCATCCGATTGCAGGCCTTTTTCCTGACATCTCCGATGTTTGAGCGCAGCATGTCACGAGGCAGTTTGGCTTTTGCCTATCACATGTACGCAATACACATGGAAGCTTGCGTTTGGAGTCTTTGGGCAGCAGCCGCTGGACAACGCTTTGGCTGCGAGCAGGTTCTCATGGGCCGCGCTGGGAGATCGACCGCGTTGCCATTCCGCAGGATGCAGAGATGCTGCGGTTCGTAGGTACCACTGGCAATGGAATCAGAAGTGACATGGCTCTAGACAGCCTCGGTGTTGGCGTCGGCGTACCTGTTCTTGGCCTGGAACACCTCGCCTGCGATTTTGCATGGGACACGTGCGGATGGCTCAACACAGGCAATGCCAGTTGGCAACGTGCCAGTGGCCAGGCCACCGACGGGTGGTTGGAGGCTGAAGGCAATGCCTCCGACGGCCAGCTTTTCATTTTCGAGAGCCCGATGCTGACTGCCAGCACCGCACAGAAGAGTGTGGTCTTTTCTTACATGATGACTGGATCGAGCTCAGTGTCCTTGGAGGTGGAGCACAAGACAGAGTTCGGTGGCTGGTCGACCTTGTTTGCGGAGAGCGGAGACACTGGTGCGGAATGGGAAGGGTTGCCCCTATCCGAGTGCCCGAAGGCACTGTTGGCCTTCGGCTCTGGCCAACCTTTCTGCGGGGGAAAAAGCGCAAGTTGGTGTGGTCTCCATTGCAGATGTTGTGTCCAGCTTTGCAAACCTGACCTGCAGTTTCGAAGTCGATCATTGCGGGTGGTTCTCTGGTTCTGGCTGGCAGCGGTTTTCGGTGCGCCACAATCGGATGCCACGGGCCCCGACGCAGCCTTCCGCAGCGACTTTTACATTGCCACCGCATTTCAATTGGATCGCGATCTGACTCCCGAGGCAGGACCTGCCAGCAAGGCTGATAAGGCTGTGTGCAAATCGGCCCCCTTAAGCGGGAGTACTTCTGCCGTGCCAAAGCGAAAGTTGGGCAGTGCTTGCGGTAGTTGTCACATGTTCGCCCTCGCAGGCTATCCTGATGAGTCCAGTGTTCCCTGCGGCCGACAGCACCTTCTACGTGGAGTTTGCTTATTACATGAGGGGCGAAGGAAATAGTTAGCCTTGAGGTGCAGTACCTCCATCGGGCCGTTGGTTACGGCGCTGGTCACGCCACGGTTCTCAAGTCGCCGCCTGGCTGCAAGCCAAGGTCACCTTGCCCGCGGGCACGGAGATGCTGCGGTTCGTGGGCATCTCACACAATGGCTGCTGGGAGTGATCGCCTTGGACTCGTGTGGGCGCCCGCAGCAGGTTGCCGGGCGCCCGCAGCAGGTGCCTGACGGATACGGTAAGTTTGCCAAAGCCTTTCAGTCCCCTCTGCCGTATGTCAAAAACCCTTCACTTCCACCATCTTCAACGTCGAACCACCTGCCCAACCAGCTTACGACCGCGCTCTCAAATTTTCATGCTGAAAATGCAAACTGCATTTGCTACCTCTCTCGTTCAGCCGGAACCTTCATGCATGACTCATGTATGCCAAAGCGTAGGATGTAATTAGGAGATGTAGGATGTGGCAGAAGGCAACTTATCTTGATCTTGGTAGGCAGGACTTCGACATGCGAAAAGAGAGAAACTTCACAGATACCGTCCGCAGGTCCAGTGCCTCCGGTTCCCTTCTCGCTGCATCTAGGCTACTACCACAGCTGTGCCGTCTTCTTCATGCGTGGCATGAAGTGTTGGGGACGCGGAAGTGATGGCCGTACTGGCTGGCGCCACAAACACGATCGGCGACGGCCCTGGGGAGATGGCGTCAACCTTCCATTCGTGGATCTGGGTGGCCAAATTCCACTGCAAGTGAGTTGTGGCAGCTATGCAGCCGCTGTTCTCGATGACGGAGCATTGAGCTGCTGGGAGGACAGGGCTCGAATGGCCTGCTGGGGGCGGCTCAGGAGAGGCCATTGGCGACGAGCCCATGGAAAATGGGAATACATCTGCCCACGGTAGATTTGGGGACGGGAGCTGCCGCGGTCGAGGGTCGCTGTCAGGTCAGAGCATGTCTGCGTGGTGCTGCGCGGCGGCTCCGTGAAGTGTTTGGGGAAAAGGATCTTTACTCGGCTTGGGCGACGGGTTGCGTGCCTCAGTTGTGAAGGCTAGGCAAGTGCAGGCTGTGGCCACTCCGTGCTTGACTTCCCTGGACCCTGGGTCCAGGCTGCGGCGCAACGCTAAGGATGAGCCGCGGCTCTCTGCCCGCACATGGGGGATCGGCTCCCCTTCGTCGACCTCGCACCGACTTCCATGCTGTGCAACTCACCACAGGGATCAGGCACACGTGTGCATTGTCAAGCCAAGGCAAGGTCAAGTGCTGGGCGTTGGTGAGGCCGTCGGGCTTGGGCTTCGTAGACAGGAATTCCGGTAGCGTGGGGAACTCGCCCAACGAAATGGGCGACCAGCTGCCCTTCTTGGATTTAGGCCTCGAAGTCCTGCAGATCTCGGCAGGCGACTCTCACACCTGCGCAGCCTCTTGCATGCACCCTGCAGCCTTCGCCTAAAGCTTGTTTGTTTGTTTGAGCTTGCAACCGGAAGCTGATGCAAACTGCAGGTGTTGGCGGATCGTTCCTTGAAGTGTTGGGGCCGGAACTGGGAAGGCCAGCTGGGCCAAGGCCATGGCTCTGTACGGCCTTTCGTGGACGCAAACCTCCCCAAGACTCTGCTGGGCAGCGGCGTAAGCGTCATGAAGATAACAGCTGGCGGATGGCACACCTGTGCCATCCTCCAGGATGAGACTCTCAAGTGCTGGGGCCGAAATTTGCCAAATGGACGGCCATGACCTCAGTGAAGTTTTCTCCTTCGTGCTTCGTGCATAGAGACCACCATAGACCACCTCGCACGCCTCGGTGATTTGAGGCTTGGACAGGGAGCTGTGGAGATTCTGGGCAAGAAGCCGGAAGACATGGGCGATGGCCTGCCAACCGTCGACATGAACAATCTCCGAGTACGCGAGGTGCATGTGCCTGAATGTGCGTGAGATGTCTATAGGAAACTTGCGCGGATCCTTTGCAAGCAATTCTAAGAATCTCCATGTCCATGCACAACCAATCACAACCATGAATGTGAATCCAGCCGTAAGTTCACGAGTCACCACTGGAGCGGACAAAGCGTGGCGTTACGCAAGGGACTCGATTTGCTGCCTGCTTCGAACAGCCGGCGAAATTCCCAAAAGCTGTCTTTGTTAGCTCCGTGAGACTGCGTGTGGTCAGGTTCATGCCGGTCTCCGCCACACCTGCGCTCGGCTGGAGGATGACAGCGCACGCTGCTGGGGCCTCAACAGCGATGGCCAGCTTGGCGTTGGGCACACAGAGACCGTGGGTGATGAGCTGGTGGAGATGGGGGCAGCCCTCGCGCCTACCGAGCTCTTTGCAAGAGCAAAGCCAGGTGCGAGCCTTGAGGGTCTCAGTGTAGGCGAAGGCTCAAGCGAGGGCTGGTTGCTGCTGCAGCACAATGGCTCTTTGGGGCTGGTCTGTGACGATGGCTTCACGGACGCCGCAGCGCAGGTGGTCAGATGGGAAACTGGCATGTGCTGCTAGATAATTAAGCAGGAAGACAGCAAGCGAAAACAGATCAGAGAAACATCACCTCACGGCTTTCATGCAAAAGAGAGAGCAGACGAACACATAAGCGCAGGTGGCCTGCCGGGATGTTGGCATGGCAGGCGGCCGAGCCTTGTTCAGGGACCCTGCCTCCGACCCTTCGCTGGACGGGGCGGTTGCGGCGCTTGCTGAGTCTGAGATCCTGGCCGACAGCCTCGTGTGTGAGGGCACCGAAATCTTCCTGCGGGACTGTGCCTTCCAAGGCGGGCCGGATAGAACCGGAGAGGAACCGGAGGGGAGAGAGGATGACTGAGAGATGGAGTATGACTCGAGGTGCGAGTTTTGTTGGCCATTTCCGAGGTTGGCACGTCCACGACTGCTCTGCTCGGGAAGCTGCAGGCCTGCTCTGACCTTTTCTGAGAGGGAAGTGGGAGGGAAGAAGGGACCGGTAGGAGTGGCGGTGTGCATCTAGTGCCTTTTCGATCGGGTCATATCTCGAATCCCTGGTTTGCGGTGAGGCGTGCGGTGCCATCTGGATGCCTGGAGTGAGTACATGGCGGCAAATGGCCCTGGGCGGCGCCAAGACCAGGCCATGATCTGGGACGCGGACACGCAATCTGCTCTGATGTTTGGAGGCCAAGCTGCCAACACCTTCCAGTACTTCAATGACCTGTGGCAGTTCCACTGGCGAACGCGAAGCTGGGCCGAGCTACAGCCAGATTTTCCAGGTCCGTCGCCCAGATTCGGCCACAGCGCCGTTTGGGATCTTGTGTCGCGCACCATGCTGATCTTGGGCGGCAATTCCGTGAGCGAGACATACGGCGAAATGTGGGCATACGAGAGCGCACGAAACCGGTGGACATTGTGGCTTTCGAGCGATGGACCCGGGCCACGTGTGTACCACACTGCCGTATGGGACCCGCTGCGTCGGGCCATGCTGGCCTTCGGTGGAGAGAGTGGGGTGGACATCCTGGCGGAGCTTCGCTACTTCAGCTTCGTGAGCCGAGCATGGTGGCCTTTGACGACGGGTTCAGGGCCCCGCAGCAAACACACGGCTGTGTGGGATGCCGCCACACGGAGCATGCTCGTCTTTGGGGGCTGGAACGGGCAAAGCTACCTCTCAAACCTCCAGCGCTATGATGCCAACTCCGACAACTGGGCCGAAGTCCCAGCTGCCGGCGCTGTACCGTGGCCGCGAGGTGGGCACGCTGCGGCTTGGGACCCTGCCTCTTCCAGCTTCTTTGTTGTTGGAGGTGTGCAGAACCGAAGCGACACGCGGAGCTTCAGCGACGACTTCTTTAGCTTCAGCATCCTCAATGGCATGTGGGCCGAGCTTGGGCCAAATGCTCCTGGCGCCAGTGCCGAGCTGCCCCCGGGCCCATCCGCGCGCACCTCTCTAAGCGTGGTCTTCGATGCAGCCTCTCCAGCGTTGCTGCTCTTTGGCGGCTTCAACGGCTCCTACCTGGGTGAGACGTGGAGATATGTCATGACGCCTACAGCTCCCACTCCAACTCTGCGCTGCCAGCTGGGCCAGCCTTGCCTCCCGGAAGGTACGGACGCTGGCAACCTGAGCATGAGCAATCTGCGAGTCAAAACAAGCTGCCAAGACGGCCATGGCTTGCCGCCTTTGGATGGCAGGCGCTTGTTTGTGGAGCCGGACAGCCACCAACTCTGCGCCTGCGCTGGAAATGACTGCAGCCGAGCACAAGATCACACGGTGCCGGTTGGCCGCTTCATTGCCGAAGGGCCTTATGCCAACCAGTCTGCACTTTGCTACATTGGCTGGAAGTGCACCGTCCCCATCTGGATGGGCGTCGGCATCTCTACCAACGATTCCCTTATCGCGCGGCGTGACTGCCACAACATGCTTACATCGACGTATAGCTTGGCTATCACTATAAACGAATCTGCTAACGCTTTCCTCCTGGATGTGGGAATGATCGACTCGGCCGGAACACCAGCAGTTGTGGAGCTTTGCTGGTGCCCGTTCAGCCATTCCTGCGATTCTGCAGAGGATGGGCTTACGGGGGCTTATTTGTTGTTGGCTTCTCGTTGTTGTTATACTTACTGTCGTTTTTCTTGTGATCAGTAGCGGCTCAAAATGTTAGTTTCTCTGTTGCTGGCATCATGATAATCATACTGGAGGACTTCCAGGCAACAGCACTGCGCCTTCACATCCAGTGCCCACCGGGGCAATACGAGCTCGAAAACGCATGCAATCTCTGCCCTGCAGACCACTACTGCCCGGGAGGCCTGTATCGCATGCTAAAACGTCAGTTTACTGTCATGTCGTATTCTCACTGTTGCCAGCTACTGTCATTGCTTTCTGGTGAACATTCTCCCAAAGGCCAGCAGTTGCGAAGCTGCCCGCTCGCGAGCACAGCCCCCATCGGCTCCAGTCGGCCCCTGAGAGAGGGCCATGTGTTTCTTTTGGCTGGGTTTAGGGTTTAGGGTTTAGGGTTTAGGGTTTATGGTTTATGGTCCCAGCTGATGCTCAGAGCCTGGGTTCAAAAAATGGTTTATGGTTTAGGACTGCTGCTACTACTGCTGCTGCTCCTACTCCTACTCCTACTGCTACTGCTACTGCTACTGCTACTGCTACTGCTACTACGTCTACTGCTACTACTACCCTCCTTTCCCCCCCCCCCCCTCACCCCCCCCCCCCCCCCCCCCCCCCCCCCCCCCCCCACCCCCCCACCCACGGATGCCGTTTCACACGTCAAGATGAAACCGTAAAACCGCGAAACTCTACAGCCCGAAGAATATGTTCATGGTTTCAGGGTTCAGGTTTTGAGGGCAGAAGCGTTTTGGGTTTGAAGTGTTCGGTGTTTGCGCAAAGGGTTGAGGGCGGCAGCGTTTTGGGCTTGCAGTCTTCGTAATTTGGGGCTGAGGGTTTTGGGGTCTGTGTTGAGAAAGCACTGTACCACCCCCCCCCAACCCCACCCTCCACACCCTCGACAAACAGGATGCACTGGGAACCTGGACACGGAAATTGTGGCCATGGCGCCAGGAACAAACATGCTGCTCATTGTAGCATTTTCGGCAACACAACCTTTTAACATTACACAGTATACAAAAATCATTTTACAAGAATAGACTAAAAAACTATGTTTTCCCAATGCGGGTGTTCAGTTTTTGAAAAACGACCCCTCAAAAACTCGAGGAAAACGCGCGTTTGGCCAAGACAAGTGCGCAGAAGTAACTAAGTAGCGTTTTTCCCGTCGCACTGGGGGGAGCCCTGCTGATATTTCTACGACGACCACGACCACGACGACGACGACGACGACGTCGACTGCCAGCGCCACGGCCAGTGCCAGTGCCAATGCCACTACCACACCACTACGACTACCACTACAACTACCGCCACTACCACTATTACCACTACTACCACTACTGCCACTGCTGCCACTACCACTACCTCTACCACTACCACTGCCACTGCCACTGCCACTACCACTATCACTACTACTACCACTACTACTACCACTACTACTACTACTACTCCTCCTCCTCCTACTACTACTACTACTACTACTACTACTACCACTACTACTACTATTACCACCACCACCACCACCACCACCACGACCACGACCACGACCACGACCACGACTACGACTACGACTACGACTACGACTATTGCGACGACTACTACTACTACTACTACTACTACTACTACTACTACTACTACTACTACTACTACTACTACTACTACTACTCTCCCACTCCTACTCCGACTCCTACTCCGACTCCTACTCCTACTACTACTACTACTACTACTACTACTACTACTACTACTACTACTACTACTACTACTACTACTACTACTACTACTACTACTACTACTATATACTACTACTACTACTACTACTACTACTACTACTACTACTACTACTACTACTACTACTACTACTACTACTACTACTACTACTACTACTACTACTACTACTACTACTACTACTACTACTACTACTACTACTACTAATCCTGCTTCCTGTTGCAGCTGCTACTGCGACGGTGCTGAGTACTGCTGCTGCTACTGCTACGGCTACTGCTACTGCTTATGGTTATCCAGTATATGTATATATAATATATACCACTATGGTAGATGCTGGGTTCGGGGGAGGGAGGGGGGGCGGGGGCGGGGGGCAGGGCACAGAAACCTGCCCAGATTCCGGACTTCTGGACCTTAAAGCGGGGTGGGTAGATTTAGTAATTGTCGTGTTGCATCTTTCAACACACTATTGTAGAAAAACCCTGTCTCCGCCAAGGCGAGCTTTCGCACTGCATCTGCCTGCGCGGACGTTACTGGGACGACGGCACTTGCGCCCTTTGCCCGTACGGCTCCACGACCACGCAGACGGGCGTGGCCTTTGCTGAAGTTTTTGCAAATCGTGTGGTTTCTTATAGCTTAGTGTCATTGCGTTTTCTCGTGTTGAGAAATTCAAAGAGGTATTCGTGTTGGCTATGACCTGAGGCGACCTCGGTCACATCTTGCACATGTTTGCCAGACTTCGTCAACACGAATCCGGAGACTCGATACAGTACTCGTCCAAATGGTGGTGGTAGTAGTAGTAGTAGCAGGTAGTAGTAGGTAGTAGTCGGTAGTAGTAGGTAGTCGTAGGTGGTAGTAGGTGGCAGTAGTGGTAGTAGTAGTAGTAGTAGTAGTAGTAGTAGTAGTAGCAGTAGTAGTAGTAGTAGTAGTCGTCGTCGTCGTCCTCGTCGTCGTAGTAGTAGTAGTAGTAGTAGCAGCAGTAGTGGTAGTAGTAGCAGCAGCAGCAGTAGTAGTAGGAGACCCCCTGGATTTGCGACTGCGGGCCGGGTTTTGGCTTTGACGTCGAGCGAGGAGTCTGCGAAGCCTGTCCAGCTGGGTGTCCTGGCCATATCCCTAAATCCCTAAACCCTAAACCGCCCTAAACATTTTATAGATCCTTATAGGACCAGTTTACATGGAGCCCTTTCTCTGCAACTTCAGCCTTAAGAGGCCCAGCATCCTCAGGCTCAACATATTCGGATTGTTTTTCATATGATTCTTGTGCGATTTCTCTCGTGACGTGGGCCGCCGGGCCCACTGTGCTCTCAAATCCGTCAAACATCTTGACACATGCTTTTGTTTTGTTTTTGCAGTTGTGCATGCGCTGCGTTTTTTTCTCGGGCTCTCGACATGTTTTTTTTTGCTTGGGGTCTAGCAGGTCCTTCAAATCTGCTGCCGGCAACATGCTGTGCTCAGCTTGCCCGAGTGACCAGTCCACTCTGCAAACGACTACCAGATCTTCCGCAGAGTGTCTGTGCAGAGCAGGCCTCATGCAAGATGGGGAAGCCTGCGTGGACTGCCCGCAGGGTTTCTTTTGCAACGGCACAGGCTTGGCGCAGCAATGTCTGGAAGGTGCTACCTCAGGCACGAGGTCAACGTCTCTTGAGGACTGCCTCTGCGGGCCAGGCCTTTTCAAGAATGAGATCACATGCGATCCTTGTCCACAAGGAAAGTACAAGCAAGACAGTGGCAATGCAGCATTCTGCAACGGTCAGTGTCCATCAAACAGCCTTAGCAAGGAGGGATCCTGGGGCCTCGCAGACTGCTCATGTACAGATGGTCATTATGCAGAGATTGATTCCGAAGGCAGGCTGTCCAGATGTGCAAGTTGCGCTGGCCTACCGCATTTTCACTGTGACGGTGGCTTCCGCGAAGAGAACGGGACAAACGTCCACGTACTTCCACTCGCCCGGGCTGGCTTCTACCAGACGGGCATCTTGACAGCCTACAAGTGCAGTGTCGTTGCTGAGGATGGCTTGAGCGCCTGTCTCGGTGGAGTGACTTGTTCAGACACTGACAAGTCCGACAACCTTGAGCACTGCAGGGAGAGTGCCGCAGGGAATCTTTGCGCGTCTGGATCTACAGGCATGCTGTGTGGCGAGTGCCCTGTTGGTTGGGGCAGGCACAACATCCAACAGGCCTGCATGCCCTGCACCGGTGCCACGCTCTCGATGACTTCGTCTATTTTGGCAGAGGTATCACTGAAGGCAGGAAAGCCCAGCGAAGTTTACAGAGCGGCAATTCAATATTTGCGGCAAACATATGCAAAACCATAACTTGCAGACATTAAAGTGAACAGCAAGCAGAGCAATGCCGTGAGTTCGCGTAATCTACGAAAGGTAAACTAGACCACCACCAACCATCCACTTGCGCAAAGCAGCCACCTGAAGCCAAGAGCCTCAGCCATTGTTCATTCATATTCCCCATGAAGCCCTTCCAACCTTGAGTCTGAGTGAAGGCCCTGATCAACTTCATTGTGGCCTCCATGGCAGCTACCGCTGCCATACGGGGCAGTGGCAAGCTCCATACCAGTATGCTGCTTGCTTCCGTTGAGCTCCGACTCCTCCTCCTACTCCTGCTCCTGCTCTTACTCCTCCTCTTACTCCTACTCCTACTCCACTGCATTGCTACTGAACGAGGCTACGGATGGCCAACCAGTGGGTCGCCGCCTGCTCTGTCCTCTTGGTCTTTGACTTAGATGGCGTGCGGTCTCTTCTCTCAGCCTCGGAGCTGAACCAGGCCCACTGTCATGGTAGGAGTATTGCAGCAAGTTCAAAAAATATTTACACTTGAAGAACTTTTATAAAATAGCCAATGCAGTTTCCAAGCATGTCAGGGTAAAGGTACTCTTACATTACTGCTGAATTTGCTATTGCGCTCCACCACCACCACCACTACTCCTCCTCCCGTTCAGTTTCAGAGCCGCAGAACAGGCCCTGTCGCCGCGCCTGGCATGGCCGCAGGAGGTGAGTTTGGCAATGGCCGGCGTGCCTTGGTCGCTGTAAATAAGTGTAGTGGTAGTGGTGGTAGTCGTAGTGGCAGGAAGAAGTAGTAGTAGGAGTCGTAGTCGTAGTCGTAGTCGTAGTAGTAGTAGTAGTAGTAGTAGTAGTAGTAGTAGTAGTAGTAGTAGTAGTAGTAGTAGTAGTAGTAGTAGTAGTAGTAGTAGTAGTAGTAGTAGTAGTAGTAGTAGGAGTAGGAGTAGGAGGAGTAGGAGGAGTACGAGTAGTAGGAGTAGTAGGAGTAGTAGGAGTAGAAGGAGTAGCAGGAGTAGTAGGAGTAGTAGGAGCAGTAGGAGTAGTGGGAGTAGTAGGAGTAGTAGGAGCAGAAGGAGTAGGAGGAGTAGTAGGAGGAGTAGGAGTAGGAGTAGTGCCGTGGTCCGGAGTCGGTAGTTTGTAGTAGGTAGTAGTCGTCGTGGACATCGTCTTAGTCGTCGTAGTCGTAGTCGTCAGGACTTGAAAACAAGTTAACTCCTTGAATCTAGATGGATTTCCATATACTGCTCCTTCGGCGAGCGCAATTCGAGTTCACTTCCCAAGCAGCTGAGGTGTTTGACATTTTGTCATTTGCCCAGCCTTTGGTCTCGGTGAACTTTGGAATCCAGTGCCGCACGCAGGAGCGGAATGTAGAAAACGTCATTAATCCACTCAGCTGCAGGTGCACAGCCATGGCATAGTTCCAGCTGTGCTAAGCTGTGAATCATGAATAGAGTGGTAGGAGTTCATGCGCAGGAGCTGTTCGCTGAGCCAACTGCTCCAACTACGGCCCTGGGCATCTATTACCTTTGCTTGCCGGTTCTCCTCATCCTCGGCATTCTAGTCCTGTCCTCTGCTGCCGTATACCTCCTGGTACCCATCGCGAGGCGATACGGCTTCCACTTCAATGAGGTGGGGTCTGTAGGTTCCACAATGTTTATCACGTCCTACTGCGTCAGATTCATGCGCCACCTGTTTTGCAGGCAAATGGAAGCAACATGAATTGAAAAGACATGAAACGTTGTGAAGCGACGTGAAACAAGGTGAAGCGACGTGACATGAAGTGACACGAAGTGAAATGAAGTCCATGAGGTCGCCAAGAGGCGCGAGCAACGGCGCGCTGTGCTGCAACGCCTGAAGGGTGCACTGGAGGAACTCATGGAGCTGAAGGGCCTCAAAGGTATCTCCTGGCACGATGTCGAGCAATCAGGTGCGTTAGACATGGCGACAGTTGCCCAATTAGAGGCATCCATTGCGCAGCCCGACTCCTTCCTGCGAGACTTTGCAGCCGGCAGCAGGAAGCGTCTATTCAAATCCGCAGCAACCAGTCGCGATGATAATAGTAATGATGTGGATGGATGCCGATCGGCATCGAGCTCTTGCGGGCAAAGCGGCAGCTTCCAAGAGCTTCAACAAGGAGGCCGCTTGTGCTGCAAGGGGCCCGAAGTTCCTCTTGCAAAGAGAAACGACATGCAGCAGTAGTAGTAGTAGTAGTACTACTACTACTACTACTACTACTACTACTACTACTACTACTACTACTACTACTACTACTACTGCTACTACTGCTACCACTACCACTACCACTACCACTACTTTTACTACTACTACTACTACTACTACTACTACTACTACTACTACTACTACTACTACTACTACTACTACTTCTCCTACTACTACTACTACTACTACTACTACTACTACTACTACTACTACTACTACTACTACTACTACTACTACTGCTCCTACTGCTACTGCTACCACTACTACCACTACTACCACTACTACTACTACTACTACTACTACTACTACTACTACTACTACTACTACTACTACTACTACTACTACTACTACTACCACTACCACTACCACTACCACTACCACTACCACTACCACTACCACTACCACTACCACTACTACCACTACCACCACCACCAGTACCACTACCACTACCACTACCAGTACCAGTACCACTACCACTACCACTACCACTACCACTACTACTGATGCTAAATTAAAGCTAATGCCATTTCTAGTCCTACTACTTCTACTACTCCAGCTGCTGCTATGGCTATTGCTATTGCTAATGCCACTCTGCCGTCATTCCAGCATGCCAAGCATCCAGGCACACCGGTCCACGAGATCGTTGCCGAACGTGCTGCCAACCTTGGGGGAGAGACGCGCGTGGCTATGAGGCAGCGGTCGAAAAAGACTTTGTGTTGCAGCGCTGCGACCTTGTTCAGACTGTTGCGTGCATTCGCAGGCAGACAACCAGCATCGCCGAGGAGCATCAGATCCTGGAGGTGGATGCTGCAATGGACTCTCTGGACTTTGGTCTCTTTGGGTCGAAGCCAGGCTTGCTCTCCTTGGTGCAACAGAGCATGCCCATCATATGGATTGGCCTGATCTCTTTGTGGCCCGTTCTAATGGCTGCTTTCCTTCGCATGTTATGGTGCGTGCCCATCCCACAAGAAGGCGATGATGGCGTTGGCTTCACGTACCGTTTGCTCCCCAGCCCTGACATCGTGTGCTGGGAAGCCCCACACCTCCCGGCTGCAGGCGTGGCCATTGGAGGCCTGCTTGTTTGGTGCGTTGGGGTTCCAACTGTACTGGCGGCGCGCCTGTTATTCATGCCAGACAGGCATGCCCCAGAAAACTACAGAAGGTATGGATTCTTCCTTCAAGGCTATGAGCAGGCTTACTGGTGGTGGGATGTGATAGCCAAGCGAGTTGATGTGGGCTTAATGATGCTTATCGCCTACACGTCGCTGGTACCAACTCCAGAGGCGAAGCTCCTGCTTTACCCAATATTTTCAGGGATTCAGCTCTTCCTTTCTGCCTGGATCCGGCCCTTCACGAATCAGCAGGCGGGTCTTCTGGACGTTCTCGAGATGCTGCTCCAGATGACCCGCTTCCTTCTTTTTGGCGCAGTAGCAGCCATGGTTATCCTTTCACCAGAGACGACCACAGCGCAGTTACTGGCGATTTCGTTGCTCATATTTGTGCTGGCTGCAGTTTCGTACCTGCTGCTCCAAGTAGTCGCTCAATTCTTGAAGGATGCATCTGAAGTTTCTTCTGCAGAAAGCAGGAAAAACCCCATCATGAAACTCTTCAGCTCCTTGGTTGACTCAATTGCAAGTTGTGTCAAGCCAAAGGCTTCGCGCTTTCTTCTGCGCAAGTTGCCACACTTAGGTGGGGTCCAGCACCTGGTGCTGGGCTACACACTGCCGATCTTCAGACAGCACGAAGACGAACATCTTCAGTTATGTTGGCGCTGTGACAAGGACACGATCACGGTTCTGACCGCTTCAGAGACAGCTCCCGACAAACGAGGCAGCGCATGCATCTTGGCGAAGGGGGATTGCTTGCAAAGGCCACGGAAGCCGAGAGTGAGAGATGGGGAGAGGTAACGGTCCGCAAACTGAGGCCTCTCCTCCTTCTGGCGATTTCGTGCGCAACTCCTGCGTTTCAGTGCTTCCCACCAGCGCACCACCTTGGCCAAGTTAAACGAAGAGTTTACGACATTTTGGCTGGTGCAATTGCAACAGCGCGAGCTGCCATGCGAGAGTGCTATCATCCTCTGCCGCCTTGCCGAAGCTAACAAGTACCTCGCGCGCACCACAGCCAAGACACGAATTGCAGCGGTGTGGATGCAACAGCTGCAGGAGGGGGCTTATGATTCCGGACCTAAGACGTGTACCCCCGAGGATGTGGAAGCTGCCGTTGCCCGCTTGACACAGCTGGCTCCTGAACAGGCTGTCAAGCTGGTCGAGTGCGCTGTCGCAGTCTCCGCTAGGCATGGCAAGGTCACAGGGAAAAGCCCCAGCCAGCGAGTCAGCCACGAGATCCAGGAGGACCCGCAGAGTTTGGGCACTGTCTTTCTAATTAGTCCAGCACTGTTTGTGTTGCTGGGCCCTGGAAGGAGCTTCGGATTGGAAGCCGTGCCAACCGTGCCACTGGTGCTGCCTGCGACGATGCCAGAGGCTGAGCATGCTGAAGCCACAGCACTCCCACCAGCACAGACGAGATGAGGTCTCACTTAAGGCGTAGAGTGAGCCCACAGGCTACGGCTCCGTAGGTGCGTCATACGAGTCAGTCTCGGCCGTCACACAGCGACTGTGAAGTTTCAAAAGTTGGGCCTGCGCACTGTACCAAGGCCGAACGGCTGCATGCGGATTCTGGCGCCCTGGCTAGCATCGGCATGTATCGGCATCTTCACTCTTGAGTCACTTGAGCAAAATTGGACAAAGGAACAGAAGCTGATGCTGTTCCCCTTGTTAACGTCATGGTGGAGAAGGACCTTACCAGACGTTCCTCTGCTGCTGCTCCTACTGCTGCTACTGCAGCAACTAGTACTACTACAACTACAATGACAATTACTACTACATCCGGCTCAACCACCGAGAACAGATGTTCGGCACCCACCTTAAGCATGGCAAAGCACCAATGCACCTGGCAGGATCTGGCTGCAGCGCAGCGCGTGCGAGACGTGGCCCAAGAATACGACAAGGCAGAGCAGCTAAAACAGGAGGTCGAGAAGGCCAAGAAGGACCTCAAGGAGGCCGAGACGAAGCTCAAGGAGGCCGAGACGAAGCTCGAGGAGGCCGAGCAGGAGATCGAGAAGCACAAGCATACCAAGGACGCCGATGCAAGCTCTGTCCTTGTCATTATGGCTTGTGATTGTTGCCATACTGCAAGTGCTCTGTAGTCTCCGATGGTGATGACCATCCTTACTCTTGCTAGTAGCAGCAGGTAGTAACAGTAGCAGTAGCAGTAGTCATCCGTCTATGTCCTGGTGCCTCAGGACCTCGTCTTCGTCTGCATGTGAATGTTCAGCCAAGGGATGCCAGGACCGGATAGTAGGAGAGTTTAGGGTTTAGGGTTTAGGGAGTGGGAGACCGATGCCAGGACAGAAGTTTGAACACTTACAGTACTACAGCACACCTCGCTTTGCACGTACTTAGTAGAGCCCCGGCACGTTGATCAGGACTGTCTGCAGGCCCCTGCTCTACATTTCTGACTTTGCAGTCCACTTCATGACTGGGACGTGGCACTTGGCTGTTGGCCGTTGCTTTATAATAACCGACCTTGCCTGGTTAATGATTAATGTGAATAGTCTTGGTTTTAGTCTTCTTTCTGGGTTTGCTTGGCTGCTCGGAGAGCGCCAGTGTATGCCCTTCCCGTCACATGCCTCGGCCTCAGCACGGGTTCAAAAAAATGTAGTGACTTTTCGTGATGAGTTGTTTCACACTTCCCTCAGCCACCACTTTTGAGGTACTTAGGCCTCTTTTTGGACATGTTACTTGCGGCATGCGTCGACTTGACGACCTTGCAAAGCTCTACCGCGTTCTTCGTCGGCGCGCGAAGAGATTTGAGCACTTTTCCTCCAGGGCCGCCCTCCGTCTCTTGCTGCCGGGCTTCCTTCGGTGCCGGTTGTGTGTTCTTGGTTTAGGGTTCTTGTGCGGTTCTTGCTCAGGGAGGGTGGCCAGGGCTTGTACCTTTACGACTTTACGTCTTTAGGGGTTTCACTCGGCCGAGGCGAGGGTTTTTTTCCCAAGCGGATTTTCCCTCGCCTGTACAGCCTGCACAGCGCACAAATGCCAAAGTGAAGCTGCTGTAAGCAGGTTACACTGGTAGAGAACAGCTACTGGGAGGATGCATAGGGGCATAGGAAGAGAATCACAGAAAAAAAACACAACGCACTTCATTTGTCAAATCCCACACCCCGATACAGCTTTGGCTTATAGCCCTGGTCCAGCCAAACCATCTTTGCTGAGCTGATCAGTTCCAATGTGTCATCTCAAGCTTTGGCCTTGCCCCGCGAAAGCCCAAACTGCATAATCTCCGGAGTTCTATCCGAGAAAGGGCACTCAACAACTGGTTGGGCAAGAAGAAGAAGAAGAACAACAGCAACAGCAACAGCAAACAGCAAACAGCAAACAGCAAACAAAAAAACAACAAGCAAGAAACAACAAACAACAAGAACAATAACGATAAGAGCAATAAGAACCATGAGAACAATCACAAGAACAAGAAGCGAAAACGCCGAGAACGGAACACAGTCACAACAAGTAGCTGAAAGCTCCAGCCTGCGGCAATCCTCCAAGCACCCTGAAAATCACGATCCCACACTTTTGCATCTATGGGAAAGATATGTAGGCATCTGTAGCAAAGTGAGAAAGGTGAAGCATCTTGCGCAAACCCGTGTGCGGTAAGCATTGTGAACTGCCGACTTTGCGCGCTGACAGTGAAGCAGCAGCTTGATCAGCTCGGTTGCTGTTGAGAAATCCCAGCCCTTTGAAAAGTGCATCTGGTGGTGGTTTGTGTTTCTCCCACACATGCGACAGGATCAAACAAGTTTTAAAAGCCGCTAGAAACGTGCGACTGAGTATTTCTGTTTATGAGTAGGACTTGCCGCCTTATATTAGCCAGTCCTACATCCTAGCCGTCTTAGCCTTCCCTTAATCATTATACAGGCTGTGCTTGGTTTATGATCATGAAGCAAACTTTGCTACAAAGAGCTGGACTTATGTTTCCATCCAGCAAAGTGGATTGAGCTCGAGGGGGGGGCATGGTTTGTATTCATGCTCTTGCAGCGTTCGCCGCTCAAAGGGGCCTTCCACAATCAGAAACGTTGAACTACAGAACGGCTTAGTTACTTAGATATTCCCACCGTAGCCACGCACGCCGCCGTTGCCATGCGCGCCGTTGCCTTCGTGCTCTGTACTATAGGCAGTGATGGTTAGGGCAGGTGTCAGGATGTGAGGGTTGGCGAGTATAGACTTTCTACCGGTTGAGCTGTGGGGCAGATTGTTGCGAGAGGTTGTTCCTTTCCAGGTGCGTGGCTCACACAGGGCCATCCCACCGAGCACCTCCATCCCAGCAATCCAGTCTCGAAAGATCAGGAGGAGTCTGCGTGCACAGCCGAGCACAATGGCGATGGCGATGACATCTCACTTCTGTCGCGCAAAGTAAAGCGGAACAAGCCGGGCAGCCTGGAAGCTGCGCCTGTCGGTGGCCGTGACAAAGCTCGAGTTCTCGCACACAGACTCCGGGAGAAAACGAGGAAGCGTAAACCACCAGGACTATCGAGGTGAGTGCACAACCTTCGGCACCGACAAGCTGGCAATCATTTTCGTGCAGAAGTTCCATGGCTCAGCCAACAAAACCTTTCCCTGCTGCATGTGATTTTGAAACAGCCTTGAATCCGTGCAACCTAAGGTGAAACATGTTGAAACATCCTCAAGCCCTACACCCAAGTTGTGTGCATATTGTGGAGTGTCTTCTCGCCGCCCAGGCACAGTCCATTGTCCACAACCGGCCACATCTCAGCCGAGTGCTCGTCTCACGTGTGGATCCTGTTGGGTGCTGAAGGTGCTTCAGAGGTCGTTAGTTCAAAGTGACGAGCCAACTTTCCTTTGTACAGGCAGCGCCAGAGGCTTCGAACAAAGCTAGCGAAAGCGCGGCCGAGTCGCGGATGTCGCCAAGAAAGTGTTTGCTTTGCCGGTCTACAGGCGTTTTGCAAGATGCATCTTGGTGTTGCTTCTTTACCCCGATGCTCTTGATGTATAAGCAGCTCGGAGAATTCTCTTGTTAGGAGATCCGGTGCTACGGATATTCTCGGCAACAGGAATTGCTGCTGTGCTGGTGGCTTTCGATGTTGACATGACCACCCGTGTTTCAAAGGCATTGGGGGGGGAGGGGGGGGTGAAGGCGGGGGTAAGAGAAGAAAGCACCCGAGATGACGACAAGATGTGAACCTTGCTGCGACAGCCCATGTGCTCAATTGGGTACAAGTACAACAGTGTACATCTGTGTGGGAATCAGCAGCGGCGAGCTTTTTTTTTTGCAGGCCTCCCTCCTCCCGACACACAAAAGGCTCTACCGTTGCAAGTGTCGTGGACCACTGTTCGTACATCTGCGTCGCAGCAGTTCATGGCGGATGGTGTCAAATAGCCACTTTACATCCACAGGCCAGTGCTATAACTAACAGCTGGTGCTTGGTGCCACTAGTGCGTTGTCGAATATTGCGCTTTGACCTTGGCATCTACAACTCATTTGTACAGATGTTACACACGCTGATGCTGATGCTGGCCGAGAAAGGTGGAGAGGCTATTCTTCTTTTCAGTTCCAGGATACGCGTGACAAAGGTTCTCATTTGCAAAGCACAAGAACCCAAGTAAGTATGGGCCTCCAGGGCAAAACCTGGTCAAGAGCAAGTTTGCGACGTACAAGCGTGCTCCTCACCAGAAAACTGACTCTGTGGGTCCTGGGCTGACAGCGAAAACCAGCCCGCAAGAGGACCTTGATGCGGCTTCGGGGCCAGACCTGCAAGAAACCTTGATGAAGAATGCTGCAGAGGAAACTTCCAAGAATGCGGAACTCAGTTGTCCGACTGTGGTGAAATCTTGAATCAAAGGCCCCATGCCTTCGAATTCCACTGCAACCACGGCTACCTAGCAGTCATGTCAATGTGCCTCAAGGGACGGACACGGTTCAAGAATAATGTTCTCTTCTCGACTTTTTTGTTGCGAAACATGGGCGTGAGTGTGAATCGGGCCTTTGTTGTTGCGCTCAGAAGATTCACGCCCTGTTTTCAAAGGTATGTCAACACCATCCACATTGTTGGGATGGTCGCTGAGATGCAGCACGAATCACAGAAGCGTTTTAACTAGGTGTGCGTGTGGTGGAATGGCGGTGGTGCCCGCAAATTGCTCATGGACAGTCTTGTGATGTGCTGAGTGAGCTTTCCAAGACCCTAACTGCATTGCGTGGGCAGCTTGAGGGAAAATGGACACCCTGGGTGCAGGTGTAGGCTCCAGCTTGCACGCTTAGTGTAGATCTTTTTTGTACAGATGTCACATAGTATGCTTACGCTTATGTTGATGCTGGTCCAGCTGGCCGAAGGAAGCCAAACTCGGATGGATAACCTCGGAGCTTGTGACGAAGCCACAGCCGATTGCTTGGGCAAGAATGTCACAGACTACGCCGTGCTGATACAAGCCAAAGTGGCCCGTCGGTACGAAGAGGCCGTTGCTTTCTGCACTTATGTGTCAATAAGTGTCAATTTCTCACGTTCGTAGGGACACAATATTCATTGAGCAAAGTGAAAACAGCAACTTCTTGAATGGCCTTTTCTTATCGCAACTCTCGGCGCAGGAGCTGCGTCCAGGGCCTGGCAGGCACGTGGGCGGCGACACCGCTGAAGTCGGCGGGTCCAGCGCGCGGTGCTTGGAAGTAGAAGTTGTTGATGTGCAGCATACGTTCATTAGGGTTATGATTATATATCATGTCAGTTCCGCACGCATGTTACACCTGAAGCACAGTGTAAGTATAAGACTATGGCTGAGGTCGGGCGCTATTCATTTAGGCGCTGGCGCCGTCGCTCTGGACCTCGTTCTTATGGGCCATCACCACCATACCCTCAGGTGCGGGGTTCAGGTGTCGAGTCTGTTTGCTTTGAGTTGGGAGCGTCAACCCTGTAAGGCTCCGTTGCGATATGGCATGATATGGCAATCGTCACATGCCAAATCTTTGGTCTTAGGCATTGGCTGTATACACTCAAGGAATGCAATGGCAAGTGTAATTGCCAGGGGACCGTATGCTGCAGGCCGTGACACAAATGAAGGTTCTTCTGGTGGGGCTTTGTGCTCTTCTAAGGCTGTTGTTTCTGCAGTCACTATAACAGAGACTTCGTTCTTGATCCAAGCTTGCAGGAGACTTCCATCACGACGTCGACGGCAACGCCGGCGATGACAACAACCCTACCGTCGACGACGACAACCCTCATTTCGACGACAGCCACACCAACAACCACCACAACAACTGGGGTCCCAACGGCGGCAGACGCCATCGCCGATCAGATCAGCGCGGTCGAGCAGTCAGGCACTGAGCTCGTGCAAGCCAGTTTGTCAGAATTGTTTGCTGGTACCAATGGCTCCTCCTCCGGCGAGAACGGTTCCTCGGGTGTCCTCGCCACCATCGAAGTCAACGCGTCGAACTCTTCGGGGCAGCTGCGCATGACCCTGGTTGACCCCAGTGCCGTCGAGGAGAATGGCACCCTCGAGATCGAAGGTGCCGGAGGCTCTGGCACCGTTTCCATCCCAGGCAGCGTCTTGCAGCAGATTGCGGCCAATGCTGGGACAGGCCAAGTGATATTGACGACAAGCACAGTCGACACAGCCAACACAGCCAACGCATCAAATCTCAGTGACTCCGGCGTTTTGCTTGATGCTGGATCCGATATCGTCGTGCTCACCTTCCGGGACGCGAATGGCAACCCGATCGAGGTCGGGAACCTGTCCGAACCCATCGAGTTCACCCTGCCAGTTTCCGATGAGAACGTCAGTTTGATAGAGGGCGCCGGGCAAGGGGAGATCCTCACAGCTCTGTCACATGTGTCGAAAGCCAAGAAACCCGAGCTGAAAAAAGTGTGTTGGTTCTGGGACAAGAAAAAGAAGGCGTGGTCCAGAGTGGATCTTCTGACGATCTCGAGCACGGCTGGAGCAATCCGATGCAAAGTCTACCACCTATCAAGCTTCGTTGCCGGAGCACCGCTGCCGGGCCCCGTGCCTCGTCAGGCTTATTTCCCGTGATTGGTTGTGCTGTACATGTCTTCAAGTTTTCGAGTTTTTCCAGAGCGCGCACAGCGTGCCAAAAGACTGCTTTTTTTGACATTTGGAGTGAGAGGGGCTGCGAGGAACAGCGACGTGTGTCAACCAAAATAGATGTAGACGCGCAAGAGGTTGGTTGGATCGACCTGACGGAGAATGTCAGGGCTTTGCCGAGCTCCACGGACCGCTTTGCGTTCGCCCGCAGCGACAAGCGCTCCTACTTGCCGAGCATCCTCTACGGTGCCAACTATGCGAGCTTCGCCGAAACGGGCGCCTCGTGCCGACTTGTTAGCACATATGATTCACATACGATTCACAAGCCGAGTTTTTAGCGGGAATCATGTCATGCAAAATGGATGTTTTAAGACTTGGAACCGGGACCGAACATGTGTACGAAGCCGCAACGAACCCTAGCTGCATCACCATGTATCACCAGCATCAACAAGTTTAGAGTGCCAAACTACACCGAACGGCCCCCACTATTGGACAGGTGTTGCCACAGAGGCTGTGTGGCAGCTTTATCCCCCATACTTCTGGACCGACGTCACACCGGCTGTGGCTGGGCCAGGCGTGTCAAAAGTGAGCTTGGGATATTGCGTTTGGGTGGGTGTCACGTGAGCGGAATTGCAGGTCCTGAGGCGTGCTTCCGATTTCCAGAACTAGTCACCACCATGCTGGCTTCAGCTGCCGGCAAAATCTAAGAGCGGCACCCGCATGCAAAATCCTGGTTAATGTGGGAAGCAGAGCTGCGCTTCTGCGTCGCCGACCTCATGACTACTCAGACTCAAACCTTCTTGCACGAGAAAGCAGACCCCAGATTCTACAGTTGTCCTTCCTGTCGGACTAAGAACAGCAGCACCCTGACTCACCTGCTTCTCCACCCCGCTGACCCCGCTCATGCTACTCATGCTATACGAATCAAGGAGAGCACGACCCTGAACAAATCACCCCCTCAGCCCTAACTGCCCCAACTCCTAAAGGTCCTAAAAGCCCTTATAAACCCTACCAACAGACCTTGAAGGCCCCAGGGGGTGGCACACCATGGTCTGGTCGGAGCCGGACTCTGGCTTCCTCGTCTTTGGAGGCATCTTACCGTACATGCGTGTGTGCTCGCTGTCATGTGTTTTTTTCTTTTGGTGGGGGGGGGGGGGGGGGGGGGGGGGGGGGGGCGCGGGTGGCCGGTGGAGTGGGGCGAAAAAAAACAAGGCGACCGGGGGGGGGGGGGGGGGGGGGGCGTGCGGGGGGTGAGAAAGTCTCGATAAGTTTCGATATGTTTCTGGCACCTGAGTCGTTGGTTTGAAGGACTCGTCGACAAGCAAGCAGGCTTCGCCCCAAATGACCTTTGGCTGCTGAGAGAGATCGGGGAGCTTGAGACCGCCTTGTTCGAGTGGTCCGCGACCGCAACTTCCGGCACGCGCCCAGGGCCGCGCTATCAGCACTCAGCAGTGGCAGGCCAAACGGCGGCCGATGGTGAGGTGATGATCGTGTTTGGTGGGCTGGACGAAAGAGTGGACACCACCAACCAGCTCTATGTACTGGACCTGGGCTCCAAGACCTGGACGCTGCGAGGTCCAACGAACCAGCCGATGCCGCGCGCTGGCCACTCGGCAGTTTGGGCATCGGAGCTGGCGAAGATGCTCGTGGCGAGCTCAGGAAGACAGTCGGAGTCTTGTTGCTTCTTAGGGGCACCTTTGGTTACCGATCGCTTCCCCATGCTTCCCTACATTCCTGCCAGGTTTTCGGTGGCTGGGCAGGCACGGCCTCCTATGCAAACGAGCTTTTCGCTTACACCCCAGACCAAGATGCATGGCAGCAGCTTGCACCTCGGAAGCAACAAAGCTGTCACAGACATAAAAAGGGGCACATGCCTGCTGAGCCTACACTTGCACTTGTAATGCAAAGCATCGCAGTGTGACCATCGACTGCGGTATCGCCGAAGGGCTCCTGCAGAACAAAATCCAGAACTGGATCGACGGGCACAGAATATGCAGGTCCTCGAGGCCCCTGTTACTTGTACCCATCATTCGTGGGTAGGAAGGTGCCCGCATTGCACATCACGCCCAGGCACCTGCTGGCACCCTTCCTCCACAAAGAAGTCTCGGCATTGCTGTTTGGACGGGTGACGAGCTGATTGCTCCGTGCACACATGGAGTTGGGGAGGTTTGGGCGTGTTTGCACTATCGCGGTTGCAGACCACTCTTTCAATATTATCGTGTCCCCACCTTGCTCCTTGAGGTTAAGATGTGTAGCTGTTGCACAGCTCTGTACTTCACGCGCACGCATGAAAGCTGAAGACGACATGACATTCAGCCAGTGGCCCCTCTTCCCCTAGTTGAAGTGTCGAGGAAGCAAGATTCAGCTGCTTCCGAGGCTTTCGGTGGTATGGTCCCAGGCTCTTCGCCGACAGCGACATGGCACTGGGCTCCTGATGCGGCGGATGGTCGCTGGTCTTCAAATTCCATGAGCCCGCAGCCCGCGCAAGCTCCGGACGACACGGCCGTGTGGGATCCTTTTGAGGGTCGGATGTTCTTGGCACAATTCGGCCAAGATTCCTACACGTTCATGTCTTACGAGGCACGAGAAGGGTATGGATCGGTTTGGATATGGTAAACCCGGTAGACCCTGATACATAGCCCTGCGACAGGTAGCCACCAACAGCACGACATCCACGACAACCACAGCAACCACAACTACAACTGTTGACGACATCCTTTTCGCCAAAGGATCTACGCGCCTGACCGTGGGTGGCGCGAGCTGGTTCGGCGTGGGTGACAAGATCCAGATCTTGGACACAAGTGCCAGTGAGTTCAAAATCATTGTCAACATCACGGTGCAGCAGGGTGCAAGAACACTCATTGTGGACGCGCCTCTCGTGAATGACTACCGCGTGAGCAGGCAGGCGACCATCATTGTTGAGGCCGTCGCTACGACCACCACCACAACCACCTCCAGCACCACCACCAGCACAAGCACAAGCACAAGCACGACCACAAGCACAACCACGACCACCACCACAACCACCACCACCACCACCACCACCACCACCACCACAACCACAACCACAACCACAACCACAACCACAACCACAACCACAACCACAACCACAACCACAACCACAACCACAACCACAACCACAACCACAACCACAACCAGCAGCACCACACCACCTTTGCCAGTCGTCAGCGCAGTGGAGGCTACCGACAAACTTCGCGCCGGATTCGAAGGTGTGGCCGTGACAGCCAATGGGAAGGCGGTGTTCGCCCCAGGTGCGAACTACGCATGGCTTTGCGACCCGAGCTACGACAACACGCGGGTTGGGATCCTGGACCTCGCAACAAGACAGTGGGAAACCTTCAACCTCACAGATTGCAGCCTGGACACTCCGAGCCCCCTGCCTGCAAACGGCTGGCGAGGTGCAGCAGCTGTGGGCAACAAGGTGGTCTTTGCACCGGCCAAGCACTTCGAGGCCCCGAACCCCGCGAAAGCAGTCGTTGGGATCTTTGACGCAGTGCCGCCCTACGCCTTTACCCGCATTGATATCTCCAGCAACGTGTCCGTTGCCGACACGCGGGAGCTGTTCAACGGCGCGGTGGCAGTGGGCAACGTGGTCGTCTTCACACCGGGAAACAGCCGGGCGGTGGGCATCTTCGACGTGAGCATGTCCAGCTACAGGCAGGCCACACCCGCGGGTGGCTTGGCACCCGGGGCGACGTTGACAGACGCAGTCGTGGTGGGGAACAAGGCCGTGTTCTGCCCATACCGGGGGAAGAACCTCGTGACTTTCGAGCCAGGACCCGACACCTTCGAGGTGGTTGATATCAGCGCAAAAGTGACATATGCCGACTACGGCTTCCACGGTGCCGCTGCAGTCGGACGGAAGGTGTATTGTGCTCCGTGGAATGCCAACGGCATTGGGGTTTACGATGTAGATACTGGTGCCTTCGACTTGGTGGCCACGGATCTTTTCACGACCTCACCAGGTACCGCTTACGCCTTCTACGCAGCCGCGGCCCTGGGACCCCTCGTCTACTTTGCGCCTGGAGATGGGGGTGTCCTCCTGACCCTAGACACACGTGACAACTCCACGCACACGGATGGCAGCCTGGGTCCCCGTGTTCGCAAAGGCCGGCAGTCCTTCTTCTCCGGCGCGACCGATGCCTCATCAGAGATGGCGGTCTTCTCGCCCTACATTGCCCAGGATGTCCTTGTCATCCAGCGGTGAAATGCGGCGAAATATCAGCAGGTTCTTTGTCATTGCGCCTTGTGCCCTCCTCCAGGCTCTGCTGCCATCTGCTACCCAGAGAAAGACTTCTCATGATGTGTAAAGCCAGAGAAAAGTCTGAGTGAAGTTTGTCAGCGTCGCCAGGCGAATCTGTTCAGACAACTGTTTACAACAATTTTGGTGTCGAGCAGCGGATGTGTCCGACAGCCAGTTGTGTCATGGAGCACGCGCACACGTAGCCATACGTCTCAGATATCTCAGATCTCTACCGTAGCCAACAGTATGGTTCTGCTTTCTGGCCGAGCGCACAAAAACCTGCCAGCGCGGCATGGGTTTACCGGGCACTCTTCGTTGCTGCTGATGCCATAGCTACACTTCTACTTGCAATTGAAGATCGCAACCCCTCTTGCAAGCAATGTGTAGGATACGTGTGCATTGGAGTCATGGAGTCATAGAGCCATGGCACACATGGCCACCTGCAGGGGAAGCAATGTGTACTAAGTACACCTGCTCCGACTTAGCATTGCTGAAGCGAAGTCAAGAAGCAAAGGGAGGATTTCGCGCGGCCTAGACATGCCAGTTGGCAGGGACTCTCGCGTCACAGGATCCTCAGGTCCTTTGCTGCAGCTGTTTGGCTTGGTACTCTTTTCCTCATGTCAAAAGCTTATCTCGTGTGCCTGACGCCCAGATCTGCGTCTCTTGGTCCTCTGGGCCATGCGGACGCTGGTGTCTCTGGTGTGTCTATTGTGCCCTGGCGTTAAGCTTGCACTTTCGTGAGCCTGCCCCAGCGGCTTCAGCGGAGGAGCAAACTCCAATCCCCTCTGAGTCCTTATTCATCTCAGGCACTTCGTGCCAGTGAGTGCCAGCGATGATTGTGGCAACGACATCCTGGACCTGCTTCAGCGCCCGAATCCCGACATGATGAAGCTCTTAGTGCCTTGGAGAGTTCCGAGCGTCCTCCTTGACTCCTTGAGTCCAAGGGCTGTAGAGGATCCTTTCTTTTCCTTAGCCGTTCAAAGGCAAAGCTTGAAGAGAACATCGAGGGCTTGAAGGCGGAAGTTACGGAGCTTCGTGCGGGCTCTCAGGCGCGGGCGCTCGCATTCTCGCTGTGTGCACCCCGACAGTTTAGTCCCAATTTCGACAACTTGCCCAGAGCCAAATTTATCACGTGCGTGCCACGTCGTGAACTCACACGACATCCGCAGCCATGCCACCGCCATCCTCGGATCGCAAATGCGTGCGCGCCCAACATCCCGCATCATCCCGCATCATCCCGCATCATCCCGCATCATCCCGCATCATCCCGCATCTGCATCCACCATTCGCCCGTCGTATGCACTTCGGCGTTTGTGGTGAAGAGGCACCTGCGGACAGTTGCGGGGACCGTTTGAGCAGCAACTGGTGGGACTCGTGGCGGACGATTGTTAAGTATGTTAAGTACAGCGGGGTCCGAAAATCAGATGGGCATTGGACAGCGAAGAGGCTCGCATCTTGCTCTTTCCATGATCACGAAAGTCAAAAAACCGTGCCCGCGCGTGCAAACATGTCCTCTTACCAGTGCTGGTGCTGTTCCTATTCGGTCTCTCTACATGCTGGCTGCGTGCCTATTCCTAGGAATAGGGGGGGGGGGGGTCGCCCTTGAAGGGAACCCTTCTTCACCCTCTTCTGGCTCTCCTCAACAGGTGACCTTATTCAGAGGCCCTAATCCTATGCCCTATATATGTTCTTCTCGATATCTGAGGCGGCCGTGCCAACTCCCGGGGTGCCCAAGAACAACTCCTTGTTTCAAGGCTGCCGCACGAGGCGCGCGCTCCTGCAGTCGGCGGAGTTGAGATAAGTCTCTAGGGACGAAATCCGGCACTTCTCTCGATCCTGCTCATCGTGGCCAGTATACTGATGTATACTGCAACTAGCACCGAAGCAGGTCTCCATGTGCGATCACTGTAGACTGGTAGGTTTGGTCGGTTCAGAAACGAAAAAGCCAAGCCGGCTGCGGCTGCAGGTCCTCGAGGAAGCTCGCCACGAACCAGGCGTCGGCGCAGAAGCGTCACACGGCTGAGGAGCATCACGGCCAGAACTTGACCCAGGCCTCCAGCCAGGGCAGCAGACTCGGAGTGCTCCCAAGCTGCCCCGGAAGCAACCTCCTGCTGAAGAAGTACGGGGCAACCTCCTTCACAACTTCCTGCTGCGCAGAAAGTGGCCTGTACTGTGCAGGTTGTGCCCGAGCCGATTCCCAGTCATGCCTGGAATGTGCTGGGGGCTTCCTGAGCCGCGAAGGGAA